ACCCTTAGGATTGAACCTTGTTAGAAAAGGGTTAGGTTCCCAATTTTTATGAATCGATTAGGAATTTTAGGTTCCAAATGGTGGATTGGGAGTATATCTGCATGATCGTGAATTTACCTTAGAGGTTTAGGGATAACCTTAATGTTGTCAGAAATTCCCTAAAAAGGACGATCAATCCCGGTTAAGGTTACTATAATGATTGTTGGTAATTAGGAAATTGAGGTGTTGTTTTGAATTATACAAAATCGATGTCGTTAGGTACCGAAATGCGCGTTTTGGCTGGCATTTTCCCGCGTTTGGCTGCTGTTCTGAGCTGCTGCAGGTTCAGGAAAATCCTGTGCGCGCTCAGCAACACGGGCCGTGTTGCACAACACGGGCACCCGTGTTGCTCTTCTGTGTTGGTGAGATAGTATGCTTTCTGGTTGCACAACACGGGCCGTGTTGCACAACACGGGTACCCGTGTTAGGTCCCCTGTAATGAGAAGAAAAAATGTGTGTTTCTGGATATGTTACAACACGGGCCGTGTTGCACAACACGGGCACCCGTGTTGCTCTGCTGTGTTGATTTTTCTGAATTTTGTTTTTTGTGCGTTATTGTGGATTTGATTGTCGTGCTTTTGGATAATGTTATCGAGCACGAGTTATGATATGACTTGATATGATTGGTGTTTAAATAGTATGCTGAGTGATTACATGCTATCCATATCCTGTTATAATTGATGTTGTTGATGTGCATGATATGTTGATTGATGTTCATAGTATGCTGAGTGTTACATACTTACATATCATGTTGCATTTGTTAATTCCCATTGTGTGGAATTAACATGGTGGCCAATATACGTGTCCGCGATTTAATGGAACGTTGAGGTGGTAGCCGTGTCCGCGATATAATGGAACGGTGAGTTATCCGTGACCCGAGATTTAATGGGGCGGTAAAGTGGTACCACATGCATGGGTGTGTTGCATTACCTTGAATATAACATGAATGGATGATTTTTCCAATGTTGTATTTGATTGTTGTATGCACGGATGATTGCTAAACGGTTGACGATGTTTGATGATTATTTGCAAATATGAAAAGTAATATATCATGGGTATATGAATTGTAAAGGTTTTTGTGAACTATGAAATATGCTAATTATTGGGTGATGATTATGATTTCCTGAATTGATTGTTATGAACGTATAATCAAATGTATAATTGAGATGCTCACCCTTACTGTTGAATTTTTCAGATTGAGGAGCTTCGTTCAGGTGCTTGGCGAAGGCTTGTCGTTCTAGTTTATTTTCGTTTAGTATTGTCCGGGTCATGCTCTGATAGTTGTAACTCCGGGAACGTTTGTTTGTCGAGCTGTTTTAGTCAGACTCGTTTAATTCCTTATGTTTTGTTATAATATGATGTTGACATTTTCCAGGTGTTAATCCCTGATGATTTTGAAAATATTATAACATTGATTTTATTTAATTAAATTATTCCGCTGTGTAAACATGTATGAGTTACTACTAAGATTTTGCATGACAGGAATTTGTGTTATTTAAAGAGAATTGTAGCATCCTCGATTATGCATGTACTCTGAAATTATGTTTTTATTTAAAATCGCGAAATTTTATGCGGGGTTTTAGAGGGTGTTACAACTTATACTATAAATACTTGAGCGAGTCAATTATCTATGAAGAAAAAGACGAGGAAAATATTTGCAAAGAATTCGAGGCCCTAAATTGAAATGCATTGGTTGTGATTCAAAAATACATTGATCGAAGCTTGCTTGAGCATGTGTCAACTTATACAAATGCACGTGAATTGTTGAAGAAGTTTAAATCCTTGATTTAAAATAAGACACCTATAAGTTACACTCACCTTGTTAAACAACTCGTCAAAAGTTGGAGTACCCTAAAGATCAAAACATGATCGAACATGTAAATATATTTAAATACATTATAAATAAGACGAAACTAAAATCGAGATGTATGAAAAGTTGTAAACAATTCTACTCCTCGGTTCCTTTTCTAAAAGTTGAAACACTTAATTTTTCACGCTCATTAGCTATGAATAACCTAAAGTAAGCAATGGTTTGCACAACACCATATATTACATATCCTATTGGAATTGCGAGTAGATTTTTATTAAACCTATGAACTAAGCGTTGAAATGTTATAAAATGAATTTTAAGGTATATAAGAGGAACTGGGAAAAAAATAATGTGTTTGAAAATTATATGTTTCCACATAAGGATATCTAATTACTTCTTCAGGAAAATCTATTTCACGACTCTAAAAATTTCTAAAATGTGTTGTATTGTCAACTACTGAAATTGAATATATTGTAGAGTAATCTTGCAAAGGAATCTTGTAGATGAAGAACTTTTTATGTGAGCTAATACATGTACAAGATGAATAAATGGTGAATTATAACTGTCTGGGAGTTCAAGGAGCGCTGAAAATCTCAATGGATTAAACGTTCAGGATCTAATAGACCTCGACACCACAAATCTACCTAAAACCTTAAGACACTGAGGGTACGTGTCTTTTCTCGTATAAATCCAACATTTATTCTATTTATAATTGATGCGTGACTTAATCATTCACATTTGAATCTTAATAATCTCTTCCACAAGTGTGAATCACCCCATCACTAATCTTGATTCATCCTAGGATCCCACTTCCGCTCCCCCACCGGGCCTAACAGTAACTATAATACCACTTATTAGGGAGTCTAGAGAGTGTCATAAGTGCCAATGAGATAAACGTTAAGGCTCCAAGAGACCTTGGCACAACATATATACCAAAAACCTTAAGGCAATGAGAGTATATGTCATTTCTCTTATAAATCCAACATTTTCTGTATTTCTAGTCAATATGAGACTTAACCACTCACACTTGAATCCATCAATCTCCCCTATAAGTGTGAGTCACTCAACATTTCTTCCATTTCTAGTCGATTTAGAACTGAACCATCCAAACTTGAATCCCAACAATCTCTTCCACAAGTGGGAGTCACCTAACATCAGTTAGCTTAATCCATATTAGGATCTCAGTACCACTCCCCACTGAGTCTAACCATGGCTCTGAAATCACTTGTTGAAGAGTACGAGGAGCTCCGAGAGTGTTAATGAGGGTAAACATTAAGGATCCAAGAGACATTGACACCACATATGCACTCAAAACCTTAAGACATTGAATATATGAGTCACTTCTCTAATAAATCCAACATTTCTTCTATTTCTATCCATTGTAGGACTTAAACACTCACACTTAAATCCCAACAATCTCCCACATAAGTGTTAGTAGGGTGGAAAAATAGGTTCGGCCTATCGGACATGTCAGCTTTACCTGCACTTTTTTGCGAGGCAGGTCAAGGTTTTATCCTCGAACCGTTAATGTTCCCGCCTCGCTCCGTCCCGTTTTTTAGCGAGCGCAAACATTAACATAACTTTTTTCATTTCTAGGCTTAAATTATGCAATGCTTGTGGATCCGCCTCGCTCCGCCTTCATTTTTTTTGCGTGGCGGACCAAGGTTGTAAGACCGTACCATCTAATATACATGCCCTGTCCTGGCCCATTTTTTGTGAGTTTTTGTGGTGCAGGGATAAATGGGGCGATCATGATCGTTTGTCACCCCTAAGTGTGAGTCAATCATATCACTAGTCTTGTTCCATACTAGAATCCTACTTTTCTTCTCCATCGAGTATAACCTTGACTCTGATTGTTAAGGATTCTGGGAAGCGTTAGAAATGTCAATGAGCTAAACGTTCAGAATCCAAGAGACACCGACACCACTTATCCCCCATAGCCCCACTTATTAGGAAGTCCAGGGAACATCAGAAGTGTCAATGGACTAAACGTCAAGATTCAAGAGACCACGACACCATATATCCATAAAAAACCTTAAGACATTGTGGATATGATTCATTTCTCTTGTAAATCTAATATGGGAGTTTCTTAATACACTCCCGAGGATTCTTAGGGGCCCTTTGGCGAAATTCCCGCAATACCCCTTAATTCATATATGTATATCCGAACTCACCATATTTCGGTTTTTTATCGAATAGGTTTGAAGATGCATATCCGAAATCACCAAATAGTATCCGAATGCACCCAATATTTCATTTTCAGAGGGAGTTTCGGATATGCATATCCGAAATAACCTAATATTTCGTCTTTAGGGGATTTTCGGATATGAATATCCGAACTAATAGAGTATTCAGAATCAATTAGAATTAATGTGTATCAATTAGAATCAAAATGTATCAATTGTATTAATTGTATTAACTTATTATATACAATTTATATGAATATAAATATACCCTAATGTGATTTCATTAAACACATATTATAAAATAGAAAATACGTTTTCAATAAAAGAGAAATTAAGGCGAATATAAATTTCTCTTAATTAAGAATAAATATCGTTAATACTGTTTTTTTAAAGGTATTTAAAATGAAAATATTGAATGAATTCAAATATATATCTCCAAATACATTTTAGAGTTTTGAAAGGATTTCTTCAATCTTGTAAAAATGTATTACTTTCTCCGTCTCATAATAAATGTCTCATTTATATTTTTTTGATGTATAAAAATAATAGTCTTTTTAAAATATCAATATAATATTTATTATTTTTTTTCCACTATTATATTTCTATTTATTAGCTTTTACGTTTTTCAACTATTCTAATAATTATAATAACTAACGGTGTTTTAATAAATAATACTAAATTTATCATTAAAATTAATAGATCTAATTATTTTTTTTAAAATCCGCCCAACTCAAATGAGACACTGAGAGAAAGAAAATAAGAAATTTCCATCGGTACTCCCTTAATTTTTGTTATGTATAACTTAATCATTTGTACTTGTCAAAATTGGATCATCGAAGTACAAAGTTGAAGAGATTGAATCAAATGTGTTTTTTCTTTAAGAAAACTTAGCTAAGTATCATAAGCACTTATGCGTTATTCTTCATCTCTTAATGCTTTTATCTGATTCTCCATTTCAAACAGTTATGCTACAGGCAGCAAAACATGCACTAGAATTACGAATTCTCACCAACAAATGCATCAAATCATTGCTATCATCATGCAAAACCACGCAACAAGCTCTTCAAATCCACGCTCACATTGTCGTAACTGGCCACCACAACAATCTCTTCCTCTCCACCACTCTCTTCACCTTCTACGCCTCTTCCTCCTCCTCACAATCCCTACGCCATTCCCACACCCTCTTCTCTCAAATCACCAACCCCGATCTCTTCCTATGGAACGCCATCATCAAAGCATACTCTCTCACTCTTCATCCTCCACCAAAACACCCATTTTCTCTCTTCAAATCAATGCTCTCTTGTTCTATATCCCCTGACTCATTCACCTTCCCATACCTTCTCAAATCATGTGCTAATTTGTTGATAAGCGATTCTCCTAAAATGGGTCTTCAGGTTCGTTCTCATGTTGTGAGAAATGGGTATGATTCCGATGTTTATGTTAACAATGGTCTGTTGAATTTCTATTGCGCTTTTGGGGATGTTGATAGTGCGTGTAAGGTGTTTGATGAAATTCCTGTTAGAAACTGTGTTTCGTATAATACGATGATTAATGGGTTTGTGCGTGCAGGTTTTGTAAGTTGTTGTTTTCGGGTTTTTGAGGAGATGAGGGGGGTTTGCGTTAAGCCGGATGAGTATACTTTTGTTGGTTTGTTGTCTGGTTGTTCGTTGTTGGAGAATTATAGGATTGGGAGGGAAGTGCATGGTTTGGTTTATAGAGAACTGGGGTGTTTTGGTGATAGTGTTGTGTTGGTGAATAAGCTTGTTGATATGTATGCGAAATGTGGGTGTTTGGTTATGGCTGAGAGGGTTGTGACAGTGAGTGGAATGAAAGATGGGAAGGGTGTTGTTGAAGCTTGGACTTCTTTGGTGAGTGCGTATGCTTTGCGGGGAGAAGTCGAGGTTGCTAGAAGATTGTTTGATCGAATGGGTGAAAGAGACGTGGTTTCTTGGACTGCCATGATTAGTGGTTACTCTCATGCAGGATGTTTTCGAGAAGCATTGGAATTGTTTGTGAAGTTGGAAGGTTTGGGGATGAAACCGGATGAGGTTGTTGTGGTTTCTGCTCTTTCCGCGTGTGCGCGGCTAGGCGCCCTTGAGTTGGGAAGAAGGATTCACCATCAATATGCTGGTGAGAATTGGACATGTGGTCTAAATGGTGGGTTCACTTCGGCTGTTGTTGATATGTATGCCAAATGCGGTAGCATTGACACTGCTTTGGATGTGTTCCGTAAAATAAGTGATGATGTGAAAACAACTTCTCTGTATAATTCTATTATCTCTGGTCTTGCTCGTCACGGCATCGGTGAACATGCTTTGACTTTATTTGAAGAAATGGGGTTATTAGGATTAAAACCGGACAAAATCACTTTTGTAGCAGTTTTAAGTGCTTGTGGACATTGTGGTTTGGTTGATGTTGGAAAAAAGCTGTTTGAATCCATGTTAACTGTCTATGGAGTTAATCCTGAAATGCAGCATTATGGCTGTATAGTTGACCTTCTTGGAAGGGCCGGCCGTCTGGATGAAGCACATCGTTTAGTTCTAAAGATGCCATTTAAGGCCAACGCTGTCATTTGGAGAGCACTGTTAAGTGCTTGTAAAGTACACGGAGATGTTGCATTGGCTAGACTTGCCAGCTATGAGCTTCTTGAGTTGGAGCATGATCATGGTGCCGGCTATGTGATGCTATCTAACGTGCTAGCTGACATGGATCAGCGTGATGAAGCTGCAGATTTGAGAGAAGCAATAGACAATGTTGTTATACAAAAGCCATCCGGTTTGAGCTATGTGGAGCTGAATGGAACTCTTCACAAGTTTGTAGCAGGCGATAAGTCTCACACAGAAGCCAAAACCACTGAGCTGGTGCTTGGGACATTAATATAGGACTGAACTCTGAATAACAAAAGGAAGATTGTGACATGGGATGCCCTCTGGTCTTCCTTCGTGACCGTTAATCTTATATAAATTCCATGCCAACAGAAATTTCTGGTGAATCATCCTTTGAGACAGAGTGTCAGCTCGGGACACTTAAATGGGAAAATGGTTTGAGATATAACCTTTCCATTGGCAGTTCCTTCCATGGGAAACCATTCCAACATATCATTTAATGACCCTGACCTTGACACTGGAGTCAAAGTAATTTGGAACCATCAACTTATTTGTCCATGAAGCAAAAGGGCCAGGGTGTGTTAGCAAGTTTAGATGTTCTCCCAACCTCTGAATTTTCTGAGAACAAAATTGATTTGATTATTCATTCGGTAGACATCAGTGATATAATAAACCATGACACTTCAGCCACTTATCTTTGGCAGAAAGGGTCCCACATTTCATTCTAATTGGAGATTTAGATCCAGTTGAAGATGCAGTTTCATATCGTTGTGATGAATGCAGTCAATTATGCCTCCGACAACAGAAGCTTGTGATCTGAGTTTCACCATATTGAGTAAAAAGAAAAGAATAAAAAGTGTGGAAAAAGAAGTGTTGTCTTTTTAATAGTTGCCTGTCCCTTGTTTGTTTGATATCGTGATTGCCGTATTTATCTATTGCTAAAGTTTATAATGCTATTCAAGTGACTAAAGAAATTGATATCTAGCTGCCTTTCTTTAACTCTAATTTTTTCTCTAAAGAAATAGATATAGTAATCAATGCCTACCTTGCTATGTAAGTGTTTTGGTATATGGATGATTACAAACCGCGTTCTATCTTGACGGATTTATTGCTTCTTGAGACCTGTTTGGTTTTCTATTTTACTTACTCTCATTATGCAGGCTCCAAATGTACAAAATTAAAGTGAAATAAATCATTTCAAGTTCATGCTGGTAATAGTTATGAAGTTTCTTTTATGATTTAGAAATTTAAAAATTGTTAGCTAGTTTTTGTTTAGAATAGTTACAAATATAAACTTGTTATTATTCTCTCCGTGTTTCTCTCTTCTTTTAGCAAATGTTGTTTGATGCATAGTACTAGAAGTTGGAGTTGTCTCGGCTGAAGGAACAGACTGAACATCATTGGACTGATTTTCAAGTGACAATCAAATTCACGTTTTCATTATGAAAAATCTATAATAGTATTCAAATTATAATCTAGTTATTTGATCATAATTTTTTTTTGTCAAGTAGCCTAGTAGCAGGAAATTCACTATTTAAAGATGAATAAATAGGACCTCGCGAGTTCAAACCCGCGCCCCTGCATCTAATGATTTCCCTGGACATTTGATCATAATCTTCAATAACTGCATTGTGATATAAGCATGCATTTTCACATGAAAGAGTTACCGCTTCTACATTTCTAACGGTCCTGTATATGGTGTATTTGGTAATCAATTAGTGAAATCATGCCTTCCTATCCAAAATAGTTATTATTAAAAAAAAGAGAAATAATAATTAATACGTGATTAAAATCTATAGAGATACTAATAAAACCGTCTTCCTTATATTTCCAGGTCCTTGTTGAGCTCTGTGTTGATGGCGATGTTGTGGAGGTGACTGGTAGCTTCAACGGATGGCGAAGATGGTTCCTCAACCATTAACTAGTATATAAAGCACCGGATCAAGGTTCTAAGTATTTAATGAGACAAACAAGACACTTGTCTTTGTTTTTAGGCTTCAGATTTATTTGAAATTTCAATTAGTAACTATTGCCTGATTAATTTATCTTTCATCATTCAGTTCTTGTTGATTATGTTTTTCTTGTTGAACTTATAAGAGCATCTCTTCCTTTAATCTCAAAGCAATGCTCTTCAGAGGAGTTTAGAATTCCCTCTGCTCAAGCTCAAAGCTAAAAATAAACCCACAGCAATGACACATTTAATTGCGATTCCTTTATTGATAGACTTAGACCTGGTCATTAGTTCAGGAGATAACCCCAGCTTGTAACGCTTGTTGACTTGCAATAGTCCAGTAATAGTGTCCTACTTGTGGTATCTAACATCAATTCACATTCCCTAAATATTTTCTCTAGCATAAACAAAATTCAACAAATTGTATAATGTGTTAAACAACTAGAGGTTGAAGAAGACGTAAAAAAAAATTATAAGAAAAATTATTAAGAAAAATATTGAGATTAATGAGTTTTGGACTAACTTGTCTTTGTGTTGTTTGGTGTGTAATTTGTTCATGAGAGTAGGGTAAGGGTTTGGCACATGAAATTCCGAAGCCAATCGATCTGGGATTCCGATTTTCCAAATCGTTGGTCCATGTCTTGGAGGACTATACACAAGTGAATCTAAGTTTATGGCTCCTCCTAGAAGTTCAAACAAGTAGTTGTTAAGTTATCAAAATTGTAACTAATTTTTGTGCTAAATTAATTTACAAGAGAGTAAATATATTTTACCTGGGGCGATGGTGATTGTAGCATTATATTTATAATCGCCGATGAATCCGGGGACCCAACCATACAAATTATAGTCACCTGGCACAATATTAGTTATTTTGAAGTATCCCTTCACGTTAGCTCGAGTCCAAAATTGATAACCCTATGAATCGCGTAACATTATTTTAGATGTATCAGAATCGAAAATCAAGAAAACACGATGTTCATTAGTTTATACTCATTATTACATTCTAGTGCTATAATCGAAGATATTTAGTGTGAAATTTTAAAATTGAACTCAATTTCACATAAAATACTCTTACATAAATTTGAAAATTTTATATAAATATACCTTGCTTTCTCTCTGCCATGATCCTGCATCTCCAGGCAAAGCTAGACCAACATAAGCATTAGTATATTGAAATCTCCCTCCTTTGAAGTGCCTATTGAAGCAATGAAATGAAGCAACCTTAAATGAATTTTTATATTGATTCTTTTTATGAAATCAAATAAATGAATAACTAAAATGTAGGTACATATACAACATGAAATTAAAATGTACCTATCTTGAACTAGTAATCTTCCAAACACTGCTCCCCTTTGTTTGAGTGGAAATTATCTTTTGATCGAGGAATATCATAAGGCCAACTTTGAATTTGTTTGGATAACTAATTAAATGTTTAAAGAAATTAATTAAAAATTATTTGTCATTAACATAATAAGCAATTAAACAATGTGGTTGGATTAACAAGTACCTGTTGCTTAGCATCTGACCAAAGGGTTGACATATGATTCTGAGTTGAATCTGTGTTAAGATAAACAAAAACGGGACCAAAAACCTTTTTATAAGTTTCACCTTCTTCAAACGCCATTGTCACTTCTTTTCCAGCATAGTGTGTGCTCACAAACATCTATACTAAAACAAAATATGCAAATTATCTGACAAAAATTGATATTGTTAAGTTGAACATTATTATTAGAATTCGAACACCTGACTGATACTCATGATTGTATGTATGAGTTTCAAATGGTTATTATCACTTTCACTGTGAAAAAGAAAAAAAGTGAATAGAAGTTGGGACATACCAAAAGAGTGATGAGTCCATCATGAGAAGTAAGATCTTTTTTAATAGGCCCACCGTTACCAAACTCATTAATTGGTGGGAATTTCTTAAGTCTTTCCTATATAATGAAAAACACATATGAAAATATGAAAATATTCTTCGGATGTGCATATCCGAACGTATCTCATATTTAGTTTCAGGGGTTTTCAGATATGCATATTCGAAGTATCCAATATTTCACTTTCAGAGATTTTCGGATATGCATATCCGAAGTATTTTAATATTTGTATCAATTAGAATCAAGGTGTATCAATTGTATTAATTGATATATTGTATAACAAAATAAAATGTAAATAAATAAACTCGGTGTTCTAGACCTTGTGTTCCTGCGTCTCTGGCCTTTACGCGACCTAACATAAAAATTTGGTTTTCTTGAAAATCGACTCTGAATTAAAATTTTACCGTGTCAATTCATCCAAAAAAAAATCAAGATCAAAATTGAGGACTCCACCCTAAATTCCTTGTTTTTCTATTTTATTTGATTTATTTTCTGTTTTCATATTTTTGAAAAAATTTGTAGACACTTAATTTGATTTAATTTGATTTTTAGTTGTATTTTTAAATTTTTATAGTAGAGTAAAATTTGGAAATGCATATCCGAAACTATTTTTTTCGTAAAAATTAAGACTTATTCGAAGATACATATTCGAAAATATATTTTTCATAAATTTTTGTAGAATAAGAATCTGTTTGAAGATGCATATCCAAAAATAAAGAGTATTTTTAAAAAATTTCAAAGGCCTCTAAAAAAAACATAGGAGTGGAAAAAAAATTCTCATATCCAAAAGCCCATGGGTTCATCAAAATCAAAACTAATCCATCCATGGATATTGTTATCTTTGTTCTCACATGAGTATTGATATTTATCATCCACTTGATCACAACATATTCATTCATGTGCATTGCATCTTTTAACCAAAAATAATCAATTAAAATAAAATTGTTTCACTTTACTTCTCCTATAAATGGGTGATTAATAGGTTTGGTTAATAGAACAATTTTAGGATAAGCTAAGGTTTGACTTGTTTCTCGATCTTCCAAAGTTGGCATGCTTCTTTGCCTTGTATCAGATAGTGCCATGTAAAACGAGAGGCATGATATGTTTTCTAGATTTTTTCCTAATTTTTTTTCAGATTAAGAATGATGAGGATGTTTATGATTTCGCTGCTTATGCTTGTGCGATGCAAATTGATGGAGAAATGTTTGTGGAACATGATTCTAGTGGAAGTGGAAATAGTCCTAGGTGTGTGAATGAGATGCTTAAGTTAAATGTTATTGATGAAGATGTTGTTGAAGGTTTGAACGATAGTGAAGATGAAAGAATGTCTGCTATTGCAGATGGATTTGATGGTATTGATGTGACCATACCAATTAGTGAGGGTCCAATTATAGCAGGGTTGTTAACTTGTTCAAGTAAGGAAAAATGGGATGATGAGGAGTATGTTAGTGAAGAGCTAAATATCTCTGATCTTGATAACTCAGAAGATGAAAAATGGCCTAAGTTTGAGAAGTTTAAGAAGAAGCAACTTAATAAGAATTTTAAGTTTAAGTGGGGTATGGAGTTCAATTCTATAGATGACTTTAGAGAGGCCATTCGTGAGTGGACAATTTTAAATGGGAGAAAAATTACTTTTGTGAAAAACGAGGGGTACGGGGTGAGGATTGAATGTAAGGCTAAATGTGATTTTTAATGCTTTGTTCCAAGGTGGGCCATAAGCACACTTATGCCATTAAGACTATAAAGGACACCTACACATGTGCTAGAGTTTTGGATAATAGACCTACAAATTTAAAGTGGGTGGCCAAGGTTGTGGTAAAGAAAATGCAAACTTCTGATAAAGTAAGAATTTGTGATATTATTCAAGATATGAGGAAAAACTATTCAGTGGGTATAACTATGGCAAGGGCATGGAAAGCTAAGCTGGTTGTAAGAAAAATCACTGAAGGAGATGCAAACAAGCAATATGAAAATCTGTGGAGATATGCAGCTGAGTTGCATAGGATAAATGCTTGAAAGGATGGAGTATGAACGCAGAAAAAGAAGGCGAATGGAGCAACACTGACGAAGAAGCAGAAGAATGGAACAGAAGGGGAAGAAGAAATTGAAGGTATTGGTCTGAATGACAAACCCTAGAACAAGAGGATTTGATTCAATTTTCAATTTTTAGTCAACAAGCTAAGCTTAGTCAACAAATTCTCAATGCCACATGGCCAGAATCCAAATGGCCAGTCATCCAAACAAGGAATACAGTCTGCTGAAAAGAGAATCTTTGTTTCATAAGGGTGCATTCACAAAAAAAATACTTGAGGGGGATAAAAGCAAAACTCGCCCTAATGACATGGGGGGATCGTATATTTATCTCATAAGATAAAGGATACATACACTCATTTGCATTAAGTTTTGTTTGGGAGTTTGGAGAGAATGGAAAAAGGATTCCAAAGTATAATGCTTATCTAATGATTGCATCTCATCATTCACCACCTTCAACCATTGTTGGATCTTTTTTCTTTCAAATTCCTCTCTGACCGTCTTTGGGTCTAAGTCTCACAACCCTCTAGCCACATTCGAAGCTATAATAAATAAGAGCAACATTACCATGTTTTTTAGGTGGTTCAATTTCAGTCCTTACCTTATCACGAGTTAACTAATAGTATGCATCCATTATTGATTGTCCTTCTCTAGAACTAGAAGTTAGAGCGCCAACATACTCACATCTCCAATCCCTCTAGTAGGAACCTCCATCTCAAAGCGTGTATTCTCCACCATAGTTTCAGAGTCTTTCACTTCAAGACATTTGTACTTATTCTCTATACGGGTCTCATCAAAAGTAACATCCATATTTATAATACATTTTGATCCTCCAAATTTCATCTTCCCCAACTTATATCCCTGCTCACCATCAATATAACCATTAAAGACAAAATCACAACTCTAGCGTCAATCTTGTCTTACTTGATATACTCAAACACAAAAGATATGAAAACCGTCAAATTTAAGTAGTTTACTAGTGTTGTACCCCAAAATTTTCCCTCTCATGTTTTTCTAAGATTTCCTCTTGCATAGGTGGTTACAAACCTTTGCCTAAAGAAAAGGAAAATTTTCAAATGATGATTAAGTATCCTTCAACTGACATCTGCAAAAGGTCCTTCAATTGACATATGCAAAACGTCCTTCGACTGGCATCTGCAAAAGGTCCTTCGATTGGTATATGGCCTTTCTACGGGCATTTCCAACAAGGCATCTTCGACAGACATCTTAAATAAGGTTGTTTTTTGTTAAAGTGTACAAAATGCCTTTCGACAAGCATGTTAACCAAGTGATGTTTCGATTGGCATATCGACAGGGCGACATTCTGATTGTCCAAGTTAGAGAAAATGAGATCAAAAAGAGCAAGAACTGAGAGGGTTCCAGAAGCTCTGATGATGGGCATTTGAATTCATGCAGATTGGAGAGGATAACTTTGAGCCTTTCTGCAGACTATGGTTCAAACATAGAAGCTGTGATGATGAGAATATGAGCAATTCGAATCAAGATCCAGAGCCATCGAAGGGAGAAATGCTTAAGATTTAATCGAAGGAGCCGTGATAACGAAGTTGGTGCAATTCGAATTCAGAGCCTTCGAAGGAAAACAAATGTTCTGATGAGGGAAGTTCTGGGCAATTCGAATCAGGACTTAGAGCCATCAAGGAGTGTAGAATAACACTTCGATTAGTCAATAAAATAACGCTACGATTGGACCAAGTTCAAAGCCATCGAAGAGAGCAAAACTTGAGACTTAATCGAAGGAACCATGTGTTTCCAGTGATTTCTGGTAAACAACCGCTAGTCTTCCAAACTATCAAATAATCTTTCTGACTGTTATTCAATTCCTCTGGTAACTCACAGGATCGACTAGATTGATCCTAGGATTCCTTGGTCATTAGGGTGACTCTCATGATCGAACATATATTCATGGTTGATATTTGAGTGTTGTATAGGTGTTTGGCTTATTTCGATTTCTCTCTTAAAGGTCTAAAGATGTAATCAAAATGTGCGTGTACGAAACTAAGTTGCATGAATAAATGTTAATTGTAAAGACATGTAAAATTGCATAAAAGGCAAGCAAATGGTTTCGAATTATAAAAACAGTTAATGTAAATGATTTCTGGAACGTAAAAGGTTTGAAATATGAAGAAAGCGTTTAATGCAAGAAATCTGTAAATGACTTTAAATAAAAATAGGCGTTCGAAGGATAAAGCTTGAAGGTAAAGGCATGGAAAATATGACAGTTTTCTGAAATGTAAAGTGCTTGAAATGTAAAGAAAGCATTGAAATGTAAAACTTTAATGAAGAGATTTTGAAGTGAAAAGACTGTAAATGAGAAAACTTATAAATGTTATTTGACAGAACGATAAAGGAAAGTGCTGGAAATGGTAAAAGGTTTTCATTAAATCATAAATATATGGTGCTATCATACGTACATTGCTCTTGCATTCGTTTCCCTTGCCATGTGGTAGTTTGAATGTTACTGAGTATTTAGTACAATAGATATGACACACGAAATCCTAATACTAAGACTTCTATTTATACTAATTCGACCATAACGGTCTTGCTATAGGATTACGCCACGTTCAGAACATGCAGAACAATGCCTCTTTCTTCTTTCCACGTGTCTCCAAATGCTCCAGCACATAAATTTCAAACTTCGAATGTCCCGCTTCCATTTGAATTTCAAATGCTTTGGTATTTCTCCGTTTCGAACGCACTTCCCAGACACAGCCTTGTTGTTATTTCGAGACTTCTTTAGATATGTTCCCATAATTTTCACTCGAAGCTCCAGCTTTGACATGCTTATTCGAAACACTGCTTCTGCTACTTCGAAACATGACGCTTTACTTCATTTCGATCGAAACGTTTAATTCATTTGGCTTCTAATAATATTATCAAAATCTTCAGCCAACAAATTGCCCCTTTAAAATATGTATTTCGATTTCTCTGAGAAATACCTATTTTAAACATCTACACAAGATTTTGATGTGACTTTCGAATCATCGTAACATTTAATACATTTGACTCCAGTCACGTCAATCATAGCGCTTTTTGGATTCCTTAACCGCCTGGAGCCACTTCACAGTATGGTGCAGTTACAAATAATGATTATCTTTAAATCACGCCTATTACCCATGTTAACTTTACGCCACCTCTTCATCACACCAACCCATGATTTCCACGTATCACACCCTTATTCAGTGGATGCTTAAACTTCCCCATTATAAAACATCACCAACTTAATCTTTTTCTTTTCTTTTCACACTCTGAATCTTTTACCCTCCTTCTCTCGTCAAAAAACCCAAGCTTTCAACATCCTTCAAAAATGTCTTCTTCTACTTCATCCCAACTCAAGAAAGTCTCCAAGAAGAAAGGAAAAACTGCAGGAACTACCATGGAAAGTAAGATTATCACTCACCAAGGTCAATCCGTTCTTGCCCCTCAGATGATTTCAAAGGAAAAAGAAATGCTGTATGCGTCACAGGTACTCATTCCTACCACCGTTGCTGGTAAGAGGTTAGCTTTAAATGGCCCTCTTACGGTTTTTGAAATATTAAAAGACACCAGGACGATTTTCCCAGTTTGTTATAGTTTTAAACCCTTGTTTAACAAAATGGACGCCCCTAAGGCAATAGAATCTTCTAGTTCAAATACCATAGAAAACCCAATTGTTCCTCCTAAGGACCCTTTTGTATTGGATTATGTAAAAAGTAATTTTAAGCCATTTCGATCTTGCCCCACCTCTGATATTTCTTATCAAAATTGGTTCAAGAAAGTAGAAGCTAAGAAATCCCAGCAATGGGAAGAATTAGGTATCTATAACCTGATTAAGCTATCGAAGCCTGGTTTCACCTACAGCCACCCTCTATTATTCGCATCCCTCTATTTCTGGGACAGTACCTATAACACTTTCCATCTCCCAGGTGGAATGATCACCCCAACCTTCTTCGACATAGCGGCCATCACTGGGCTATCGCCAGTAGGAGAAACTTATATCCCCGACAACGAAGAACATTCAAGCATAATTAACTTCGAAGTCAAGCTAGCAAGTTTTTCCAAGTTTATCAGTCATTACCATGCTGAGGGGGACAATGTGTCTGACGTAGAACACATTGCTTTCTTAACCCTGTGGCTGTCAAGATACGTTTTCTGCAGTAGATCCCTACAGGTAGCTAGTAGGTTCATTCCTCTAGCTAGGGACTTGCATGAAAATCGAAAAGTGTGCCTAAGTGAACTGCTCTTAGTTGACCTTTATGAAAGCCTGAGGTCAGCTGTTTCGAGCCTCAAATCCCATACCTCCAAGAATATTCTGTTGGCTGGCCCTTTTTGGTTACTTCAACTATGGCTAAATGCCATGTTCGAACCCTCCTTGTCAACCGCCAACACCATTGATGAACAAGATCCTGAGATAAATGATAGGATAGTCGAAGGCACTAGGCTTCGAAGATTAACTCCAAATGACGACAAAGATGACTTCAAAGTCCAATTCTCGAAGTACATCATGATATTCTCCAAAAGGCACAAGTTCTAAGAGAGCATGGCGCCTTTTGCTTCGAGGGCTCATGGACCTTCTTGGTACACCATGGCTCTCTCAGAAGCTATCAAGAGCAAGGAGATTCAAGATGTATGGAGAGCTTTTTTGCTACCTAGACTCATTTCTTCAAGAATAACTCCAGCCAAGAACCAGATTTTTCTTTTTGCTTACCAACCAAATTTTGTTTCGAGACAGTTTGGCTTATGCCAACTGATTCCTGAACCTTTATTTCAAACTAAGAGTGCCATCACTTCTGGACGAACTTTCAAGGCACGGGAAGCCAAAATACAGCAAGAACAATATCAAGGCTTTGCCCAGTTTGAGCTGATAACCTTCGAACCTACCCATCTCACAGCTAAAGGGTTTCTGGAATGGTGGACCAAGTTTTATCAAACTTATATGTTCGATACACTTACAATTCAACAGAAACTAATTGATGCCTTCGATGTGCAGGTACCAGCAAAGAAAGGTATGTTTACTCATGCCAAAGAGATTAAAGCTTTCCAAAATTATTTTGAAACTACTTATGACCCCACGCGCTTGGACTCCATTGTGCATCAAGCGGTTGAGACCTTGAAGGAAAAATTTAAACAAAAAGTTTCTAAGTTAAAACTTCCTTCAGGGTTGTCACCTGAGGATAGGTATAGGTTGGCATTCGAAATGCATCCACCTAAATTTCCCAGATTACCTACCTCAGAACTGGCTCTGGCTTGGTTTCCCCCATATCCTTGGTGGTTCACTTGCAAAGAGATGTTCAAACATCTTCAAAGGAAACCAAAGCCATCTGAGACTGTGACATGGGCTCGACACTGGCTTCATGATTTCCCAGGACACCTTCGATACGACCTTTCTGCCATGTCAATTAAATCTGATCAAGGCACAGGTGCGAATGCTTGGGAAAATCCCAAACGTCTTTTATTTTCCATATCTTTAACCTTTGCTTTAATTGTTTCGATTTTCAGCCATCAGGATAAAGACAGCTGCCTCGAAGTCGAAAGAAGGGAGTGCCTCTCAAGCCTCCATCAAAACTACTGACAAAGTGACTCCACCCGAAACAACCACTATTGCTGCAACCACAACAACAACAATAATACCAACAACAACCAGTGTTCCAACTCCAACGGTAATCACTTAGCCTTAATGTTTCGAATTATGTTTTATGGTTTGCATCTAACTCTTCGTTTAAATCCTTTCAGACCAACAAGCTTCCTCCTACTACTCCCAAGAAGCGGAAATCAAGCACCAATGGGGAAGATCCCAAGGCTGGAGGAAACTTAACCACTGCTTCGAAGAAGAAGCCAAAGAAAGA